CTCAGAATAGCAGTTATTACATACAGTGGTTTTTCTGCTGCAAGTTAAAGTCAATATATCAAACTTTATTGTTCTCAGACTCTGGGAGATCAGGATTCAAATCTCTACTCAGCTATGAAAACCCATTGGGGAACCTTGTAAAGATCACATACTTCCAGCCTCGGATGAAACACTAACAAACCTTCACTAGGTTAAATTCAGGTCTAAAGGCAATAAAACAATCATAAGTAGAAGAATTGTATCTATAGAAAGCCCCTTGTCTGATTTTGGGGGGAATAGAGGTCAGAGGAGATGGTGCAAGAAGTTCCTGCATAGACTCTCTTTCCATCATCTCAACTGTGTGAACATAAATCTAGGTCCAAACTAGAATATATCTCAGGGTCCTTCTACACAGCCATATAACCCAGAATATCAAGGCAGGGAATCCCATAATATCTGTTTTGAACTAGAATATATGACAGTGTGGACTCAGATATCCCAATTCAAAGCAGATATTGTGGGATTTTCTTGATATTCTGGGTTATATGGCTGGGTGGAAAATTCTGTTTTTCCCCCAGAATTTGTTTCTGAGGAAAAAACACAATAATCAACCAATGGGGATATTGTACAACTTTCTTACCATACCTGTGCATCATATCATGTGCTGAAGGAATTATTTTGCACAAAATTTGCACAAAACCTGTGCACAGGGCAATTTTTCCATGATTACAGTATTGTAAACCTAGCATACAACACCATAATTACACGTTTCTGATCATTTCACCATCACGCCAACTAAAAATGCTCCAAACCTACCTCTGAAGCAATGTAGCATCTCCAAAAGAAAGATTTCCAAGATGTTGAATAATTTGTTAGTGCCTGATGATGCATCCGTCCCTTTGTCATTGCAATAGGCAATGATGACTTGATGTGCCCACTATCAGAAGACAGCAGGATACATATTCACTAGGCTTGGGCGATCAAGGAAAAAATTGGTTCTAAACTCATTTCGTTTCTAGGGAGCACTGGCGTTTCATTTTTTTTTTTTTTTACTTACAAAATTTCCAATTTCAAAAATTTGAAATTTACAAAATTTTGTTAATTATGAATCAATTCGTTAATGAGGTGGGTGTGGCCTCGTCTGGCTCCTCCTGAAGGCCACGCCCACCTCATCCCCCAGCCATCCATTGCCCTTTGCAGGCAGCCAGGGCAGGGGAACTGTAAGATTTCAAAAGTAATCTTACAGTTCCCCTGCCCTGGCTGCCTGCAATATCGCTTCTAATTATTAAAAAATAACGAATAAATAACGAGTAACAAAAATAATGATCAGGATCGCCCAAGCCTAATATTCACTCACAACCCCACTCTCCAGCAACTTGTTAAGAACGATGTATGGCTTTGAAGATAGTTTATTGAAGGAAGTGGGAGAATAACTGCAAGTGATATATTTATGCAGCCTGTGTATTTTTTTTACAAAGAATAATGTCTTTGCAACATTTCAGGGCATTCAGAGAATACTGCAGAGGAATGTTTACTTTCTCCTGCAGCAAGGAGAATAGTACCAGAATTATTTGAACCCCCCTCCCCCCAATCCACTCATGTAAGAATAAAATAATCATGTTTCTTCTCTACTAGGCACATGTACACATATGCTCATTCATTCACCAATCTCGTTACTTGAGAAATGGAGAAGCACAGGATTGAATCACCCTCTCATCCCACCCTAAGATTAAAAGAAATCAGGACTAAGAAAACAAACAAACAAGGAGGACACTTAGGTTTTGAGAATAGCTCTGTAGGCAGGTGTGCATGCATAGTCTTACCTCAAACATATGGCTTTAAATTCAATGCTACCCAAAATGGTAGTTGTATCCCTTTTGCTTTTCTTGATACATTATAGTATCTATATTGTGGCCATATTATGCTCCGTATTTTGTGCTGTTATTTTATCGGTTACCATTGATAACAGTAAGGGCTAAGTCATTTACCATAGTATATTATATGCACAGTGCTCTCTGATTTTATAATCAAACAATGACCAAAATCCATTGAGAAATTCTAACGGTCAACAAGTCATTCTGTAGAGCAGAGACAGGCCTAGTATCCATTAAAGCAGTGATTCCCAACCTTTGGTCCTCCAGGTGTTTTGGACTTCAACTCCCAGAAATCCCAGCCAGTTTACCAGCTGTTAGGAAGTTTTTGGGTCTTTACTACAGTGTGGTCCTAACAGAGTAATACTCTATGAACTTACCTGTAACAAGCAGGATGGAGAAGACATAGATGGTAAGAAACATCTGAACCTTCTTCTGAACACACACAAAAAGAAAGAAGTGAATACCAGAGTGTTGCGTCCAGTTGCGTAAAGGGTGATGAGTTTAGTGTAGATGGTTGGATTTATAGTTTCAGACCTGGAAAGGTGGGGCAAGAAAGAAGGATGGGGGCATGGAACAGTTCCTGGTCCATTCGTCTCCAGAGAGGATAAATCACAGAGTTAAATCGGCACCTGTTCCAGGCTTAGTGACCATTGCGACACGTTAAGACAAATGAATGGACCTACAGCTAGCTCCCTTTGGGACTAAGGCCAACAGGACAGACTTTGAGTGGATGAGTGGTTCAATTCTGCTGTATTGAAAGGGCAAAAGGAATAAAACACTATGTTTGCAGTGCAATCCTATAGACCAGTGGTTCTCAACCTGTGGGCCGCAGCCCAGAAATGGGCCACAAGAACAAAAATCTGGTCCGCGAACCTCCTTCCTCTTCATTTTATTTCCACTCTAGTCCACAGAGTTAACCGGCCCCACCCCTTTTGGTACCAATGTTGCAGAGTGGTCACTGATCAAAGTGGTCCCCATTCAAGTGCTCTCTGGTCAAAGTGGTCCCTAGTCAAAGTGGTCCCCGGTCAAACTGGGCCCTGGTCAAAGTGGGCCCTGGTCAAAGTGGGCCCTGGTCAAAGTTGTCCCTGGTTAAAGTGGGCCCTGGTCAAAGTGCACCCTGGTCATAATAGGTTGGGAACCACTACTATAGACATTTATCTCAGCGTAAGTCCTGAATTCAGAGGAACTTACTAGGACATATAGGCAATATAAAGAAAATGCATAAGTTATTCCATCCTTAACATTCCATCCTAAGGAAGGTGATGTTAACATGTCAAAACTCCATGTCAAAAATGATCAGTTAACACAAGTCAATAAGGAGAGGACAAAATCTTCCCTATTAATTTAGAACATACTGATAGAAATCTGACATTGTGCTTGTACTAGGTAAATATACACTTAGCATGATGGGTTGCACTACACCACCCTTCTACTGAATGTAGGGATTGTGTAGCCAATTGTATATCAGCCAACATTCCTTCTTATTGTCCCACTGTGCAATGGAGAAGGCGCTGATGTATAGCACAGCCAGGTGCATAAGGAAACTTATGCATATGTCTGACACCAACAAGATTCTTACCTGTCACATGAATATTGTTGGCTTGCCAAAAGGAACAATTGCTCCCAAGGACTGCTTTGTAGTGGTGCAATTAGGGCAGGACTTTGGGGCAAATAGCCAAACACCACACATGAGAATGGGCAGGAGAGGCTTCAATTGCATTTGCGTTGGCTTGTCATGTTTTCAAGTAAATAAAAATTTCCTACACAAATACACTTTCTCTCTCTTGCATGATACACTCTAAATGAGGCATGGACAAACTTTGGCCCTCCAGCATTTCAATACATAGGCAAACATTCAATGCATTTAGCATTATATACAATGAGATAAACAAATGCAAACAAAGGCAGGGGTTTCTCCTTGCATTTTCTGCTTCTGGAGGTGGTGCTCATCTCTGGCTCTGGGGAGGTGCCTTCCTCCATTTTCAAACCAAAGAGCCTGCATTGTCACCTCTTGGTTGTGTGGCCAGCAAGATTGCTTGGAGCATCCCTTTGCCTTTTCCCACTGAAGTATTTATCTATTCACGTTTGCATGTTTTCCTTTTTTTTTTTTTTTTACAACACAATGTTGTTTTTTTATGCTACCTTTCTTCCAATCTATTATCCAAGGCACAAAACCAGATAGTTAAAAGGATAACCAGATAACATTTGCATGTTTCCGAAATGCTAGGTTGGCAGGAGCTGGAGTTGACAGACAGGAGCTCATCCTGTCTTGCAGATTTGAACTGCCAATCATCAGGTCAGCAGTTCAGCAGCACAAGGGTATAACCCATTGTGCCACCTTGATGGACTAGGATTCTGAGGGACTGGGGTTCATATCATTGTATTGTCAAAGGCTTTCATGGCTGGAATCACTGGGTTGTTGTACGTTGTGACCTCACAACCTCTCAGGATGCCTGCCATAGATGCAGGTGAAACATCAGGAGAGAATACTTCTAGAACATGGCCATACAGTCCAAAAAACCTACAACAACCCAGTTCATATCATTCAGCCACAGAAAACTGGTGGCTGACCTTTGGAAATCATAGGGATTCAATGACAAATCCCCTCTGATCAAATCTTCTAAAAAATACCTATGATAGATGACCATAAGTTGATAATAACTTGAAAGCCTATAAAGTGAAGCTGACAATAATGGACTGTTCCAAAAAGTGGACAAAAGTTGTGTTTTTCTTCCCCACAGAAGCACAGAGCTTAGAAATGTTGGAAGGCTTGAACTACAGTTTTCACAATCCTGCAGCCAGTATGATCAGAAGGGAATTTTGGGAGATACAGTCCAAAAAAGTAACTTTCCAATATTCTGGACAGCGCATGTTGCCAGAATTCTGAAGATTGCATGTTAACCGGAAAAAGGGAACATACAATGACTTAGAAACACCCCAAAAGTAATAAAGGAAAGTCTCTTTATATGACATGATTCAGTCATTCACAAAGAAAAGTGCTCAAATTATCTTCTCTCATAAAACTGCAAAAATGAAAAACACTTAATAAGAATGATATCTGATACAATGCATATACATATTTTTAAACACTCGAGGAATGCTCCTGCAAATGTTCAATTCAGCCAGTTTCGATTGTTGAAAAACAAATCATGTGAATCCTCTTGCAGGTAGAGTACACTGAGCAGTTTTCATCATCTCTACAAACAGTCCAGGGATACCCCCAATATAGGGTTTGTTCAAACAGGCGAACTTGGTCCCACAGCCACGTTTAGCAAAAGTGTACACCTGGTCACCTAGGACAAAGAAGAGGGAGAAGTCAGCCTTTGTGAACATATCTCTGTTATTAATTTCATAGAATCACTCAGTCTAGATTCGGAAGGGATTACCGGGGCCATCTAGTCAAGCCCCTGCCATGCAGAAATGCACAACTAAAGCACTCATAGAAAATATTATCCAGCTTTTGTTTTAAAACCTCCAAAGATGGAGAGTCAGTCCACCACCATATGAAGCAATCCACTCCACTGACAAATCACTCTTACAATAAAAAAATCCATTTAATATTTCAGTGGGATCTCTTGTAATTCGAATTAAATGGTCCTTGTTCTAATTTCAGGAGCAACAGAAAACAAACATCCTCCATCTGCCATATGGCATTACTTCAGATATTCATGTCAGGAGCTATTTGGGAAACTGCAAGTCGCTACTGGTGTGAGAGAATTGGCCGTCTGCAAGGACGTTGCCCAGGGGACGCCCATGTGTTTTTGATGTTTTATCATCCTTGTGGGAGGCTTCTCTCATGTCCCCACATGGGGAGCTGGAGCTAAAGATGGCTATCGTGACACCTCTCTGTCTTCTTTTCCCCCAACTAAACATATCTACTCCCTAAGTTTACATAGAGTGCAATCAAGTCTTATCAAACCTTGCTGTTTTGTTTGATATTGTGATATGGCCTAACAGCTAATCAATAAAATTACTATACTAGTCCCTAAGTTATTAAGTTACTGAGCCCAGTGGGTTAAACTGCGACTGAAAGGTCGCAGGTTCAAATCTGGGGAGCAACGTGAGCTCCTGCTGTTAGCTCCAGCTTCTGCCAATCGAGCGGTTCGAAAACATGCAAATGTGAGTAGACCAATAGGTACCGCTCCAGCGGGAAGGTAACAGCGCTCCATGAAGTCATGCTAGCCACATGATCTTGGAGGTGTCTATGGACAACGCTGGCTCTTCAGCTTATAAATGGAGATGAGCACCAACCCCCAGAGTCGGACACGACTGGACTTAATGTCAGGGGAAAACCTTTGCCTTTTACCTTAAGTTATTTCTATACCTTTTATTCAGATTCAAAAGCGGAGTGGGCAGATCAAAAGACAGCCTGGCAAAATGGCACTGCCTAAAAGAACCCCACACCTTGTGTGACTGTGGAGCAGGACAAACAACTCCACATCTGCATGCTTGTCCACTATGCCCTGCCTCATGTACAGAGGAAGAATTGTTGGAGGCTACAGACAATGCTGTTGCTGTTGTCCGTTTTCGGTCAAAAGATATTTAGCTGCTTGTGCTCCTTCTATTTTTATCAGTTTTATATGAATTTATGCAATGCTTTTGATACGAAATAAATAAATAAATACATTTTATTATCTTGGTCACCTTTCTCTGATCATGTTCCAGCTTGTCAACATCCTTCTTCAGTTGGGCATAGTATCCTGGGAGACATCTGATCAAATAAGTGGGACTACTACTTCTCCAAATCTGGATATTTTACATTCCAGCATTTATGTAGCCAAGAACAGTATTGGCTTTTTTGGTTGTCATATTAATCTGTTGATTCCTGTTTAGCTTGAGATCCACTAAGACCCCAGATCCTTTTCACAGGTATCACTTTCAAGCTAGGTCCCCCTTTCTGTATTTGTGCCTTAATAAGTTACTTAGATCCTGTCTTTGGATCCCATCCCTCCTACAATGAGCTAAAAACCACAGGGATGGGGTTTTTTTTTTTAGTTCCTACTTGATCCTTGTGTGGTAGGTAGGCCTGCAAAAAGAAGAGTGACTGGGCCAAAGTTATCCACTGAGTTTCTAGAACCCTGTTCTACCATATGCCATGCAATACTCAAAGCAAAACAAACTAACCACTACGCCAATAACTATCATTTAAGGGGTCTCATGATCATCATCTCTCTAGGGTGGGGAACAGCAACACCTAACACAACACATAACATCAATTATAGCCCAGAAACTCATCATTATTGCAGATTCATTGGTTGTTGGTTTCATGGTTGCTTTTATAGTTGTTATAATGTTGTTTTTGTTTTGTTTTATGCTGTTGTTTATGCATTTTAATGTGTTATATTTTAACTCTGAATGACTGGGCTTGGTCTCTTTGTAAGCCACCCCYAGTCCCTTTGGAAAGATGGAGGCGGGGTATAAAAATAAAGTTGTTGTGGTTATTATTATTATGATTATTATTATTATTAATAATAATAATAATAATAATAATAATTTAATATGCATTAAAATATACCAAGAGATCCTTTCACATTCARAAATTAATAATAATAATAATAATAATAATAATAATAATKTTTATTTATATTCCACCCTCCACAAGAAACTCAGGGTGAATTACAGAATACATATATGGCAAACATTCAATGCRYTTATACAATTAACAACAAAGACAGACAGTACACAGACAGAGGCAAAGGCTTCCCCCTTTTCATCTCTGGCATCTGGAGGCTGTGCTCAACTCCGGCCATGGGGAGGTGCTCTTGTTCCATTTACCATGCTGAGGAGCCTGTTGTCTGTGGACACCTTCRGATTGAATTGCCGGCATYTCTTCATGGGCTCCTTTTACCTCCCTGCCAAATTGATCAACTCACATTATTATTTTCAAACTCCTAGGTAGGCAGAAGCTAGGGCTGATGGAAGGAGCTCACCCCAACCCGCGGCTTTGAACTGCCAGCTTTTTGATTGGCAAGAGTTTTTGCAGCTGGTGGTTTAACCCCTGTGTTATATTATCTGGATGGGCTTGCTAGAAGAGGTTGGTCTTTACTGCTGTTTTAAATTCAGAGATTGTCTCCAGCTGACATATTTCTCTGGTGCATCATTCCATCATCTGAAAGCAGCCAAAGAAAATGTCCTCTGGGTAACACTCAACCTAGTTTTGACTGGGATCTCCAAAAGGCCCGAGGATATGGATGGGTTATATAAACAGTAACACAGTTATAGGATGTTTGGATGTTGGTGAGGCAGTAACTGCTTTACCCCTGTTGATCTCAAGGAAAGTATAATTTATTCCTGGCAGAGATAAAAAGTTTGAGCCAGGCTATCATAAAAAGTTCCCTGAAAGTTTTACCCATATGGAACAGAAATGGAGAAACCACAGTATTCCAAAAAGTAAAGCTCTAAAGCTTTTCAAGATGTTTGTTTCTAAATGTTGGGCTATGATCCTACACAAAAAAGACTTCCCAAACAACAAACAAAATTCCACTATCTGTTTTAGCTAAATTACCCAGATTTGTTTGTTTCCCTCCCTCTCCCTCTCTCTTTCTGTTTTCACCACTCAGTCCTTACCCTGTTGCACAGACATATCATAGTAGATACATTTGCTCTCTTTTCCATGACATTTTAACGTCTCCGTGGGCTTGCACATAGATTGTTTTGAGAAGCATCCAGAACAGAGTAGCCCATTTGGCTTGGTATTCATTGGTGGCACTGGGAAGAATCACATTGACTGTTAGGAGCAATATCCTGCATATCTTCTTGCAAAATGAAATGGGTGATACAAAGCAGAAAGTGGTAAATGCCATCATAGAATCATTGAGTTGGAAGAGACCTCATGGGCCATCCAACAGCCTGCCAAGAAGCAGGACAATCACATTCAAATCACCCCCAACAGATGGCTGTCCAGCCTCTGCTTAAAAGCCTCCACCACTCTCTGAAACAGAGAGTTCCACTGCTGAACAGCTCTCACAGGAAGTCCTTCCTCATGTTCAGGTGGAATCCCCTTTCCTGTACTTTGATGCCATTGTTCCACATCCTAGTCTCCAGGGCAGCAGAACACAAGCTTGCTCACTCCTCCCTATGACTTCCTCTCACATATTTATACATGACCATCATGTCTCCTCTCAGCCTTNTGGGTCCCGAGTAGACCTACCAGTCAAGGCTATGTAGATTCTCCAGCTGGAGTTCTTTGGGTCTGTAAAACTTCCGAAACTTTAGGACTGTTTCCCTCAGATGCTGTAAAGCTGAGGGGCTGTAAGCTCCCAGCCAGAGCTTTGGGACTGTTTCCCCCCAGAATTTCTGTCCCGGATGCTGTAGGAAATGAAGCTTTTCTACAGATGGAGCTAATCCATGTCCTGTAGCTTAGCTTTCCACTATAAGACTGAACTAAAAATGGCTCCCTCTCTTCCCATGGCCCTGGGGAAAGGGGCGGAACCAAAACTTAACAATGATAGACAGGTGGCTAGCCCTATGATTGCAAACCAAGGGAAGCCACCTTGTTGCAAATGCATGGAACCTTGGAATATATGCAAACACTCAATAGAAAGAAAATGAAGCTGAAGCTCCTGGTATAGCCGTACCAGCACAATGACGGAGGATTAACTGGGACTGTCCTCACCAGATTCGGGACAGTTGGAGTGCATTGCATTCTTTAGGCACAACCGGATAGCAGAAGAACGTCCTCCAGTCTTTTCAAGTTGGTAAGTTTCCGCTCTCTCAGCAATACGGTGGGAGAGTTATTTCAAAATTGCTCATCTGGAATGGCACATTTTGAGGTTAGTCACTGCCAGAATGATGCCTAGCAATTAGCCCACCGCAGCTCCGCACGTGCCTACCAATGCACTTGGCACGCTCGCTGAAACGGGGCAAGAGCAGGGAAGGCTTGTTCCAGACCCTTGGCAAGGGCTCTGGCTTGGAACGTGGGCCATTTATATCTCTAGCCCTTTCAACCCCAAACATACGCACACACGCCCCTGTAGATACTATTCTTATTCTTCGGCAGTTGTTGATATGCACAACACACACACTCTTTGCAAATCCGACAAGCTGTAGAGGGAACAAACAGTTGGAACGAGAGCCTGGTTAAATGGCAATTAGACCGCAATTACCCGACAGGCTCTGTGGCATCCCAATCCCACTTGGAATATTAGGCATTAAGTATATAATAACAAGTGGGGAATGCGCTCTGTTGGTTGTTCGTTCTTTTCCCTTCAGGGGCGTGTTCGCAGTTCGTGCTGTTTTCAAATGTTCGCCAGCCACAGTCGTAATGATATCAGTTATACCAAAATTATACTAAAGTGAAGAATACAGAATGTGTCACTCCACTCCCACCGCCAACTCAAGAGCCGCAGGATCATAAAATCCAGGATTTATAGAGTTAGAAGGGAACCCAAGGACCATCTAGTCCAGTGGTTCTCAACCTGGGGGTCGGGACCCCTGAGGGAGTCGCGAGGGGGTGTTAGAGGGGTCGCCAAACACCATCAGAAAACACAGTATGTTGTATTGGTCATGGGGGTTCTGTGTGCCAAGTTTGGGCCAATTGTATCATTGATAGGGTCCAGAATGCTCTTTGATGGTAGGTGAACTACAAATCCCAGCAACTACAACTCCCAAATGTCAAGATCTATTTTCCCCAAACACGACATTTGGGCATATTGAATATTTGTGCCAAGTTAGGTCCAGATCCATCATTGTTTGAGTCCACAGTGCTCTC